GGTTTATACAAAGGTAGCAATGATAGTTCTCCACTAATTTTTAATGAGCAGAAACAGGCTCATATGAATATGTTACAACTATCAGCAATTAGCATAGTTAATTATGTGTTCAAATTCTATTATGGCTACACACTGCCAAAATTGCCCATCATTTTAATGTCACCCCTCTAAAGAGGAGAAAGGGACATTTGCTGGGTGCTGACTTGAGCTATATTGCCTGCAATAGATACTGCATAGGTAACAGCATAGATGCTGGTTACTCTTCTCTTCTCCCAGAGCATTACACCCAGAGGAAGGAGACCCTGAGCACTTCCCACTTTCCACATAAATGATAAATGCAGTCCTGGGTGTTGACAGGGGGCCCAAGTTTGATTTTCTTTTCCACTGCAAATAGGCCGACATTGAGCTGGCATGCTGCTTTCAGGAATCTGCAGCTAACTCATCATTACTTACTACCATTATTTAAGAGAGAAAGAGATAGATAAAAAAAAATCAGAAGATTGCATCATAGTTTTTACCTGCTGAGTTTGGGCAGCTCACCTATGAAATGCGAACACTGTCATCAGCCTTGCAGGGACATTGGAAAGGACTTAGGAAAGGTGTCCTGCGTAAGAGCCAAAGCATCCAGATTCTCACTGAGTGATCAGCATGATGTGCAGGAGGATCTTTAAAAAGTTCATAGAAAAATATGAAAAAAAACTATAGATTTCAAAGTAGTTTGTAACAAAATCAGCTTATCTTTCAATTCCATATTTACGTGCACTAGCTTGTTCTGTTTTATTTTGCTTTGTTTGTGCGCGCGCGAGAGATCATTCCCATCTTGTTGTTCACTTTCCAAATGTCTGCCACGGCCAGGGCTAGGTCAGGCTGAAGCTGGGCGCTGGTAACTCAATCCAGGATTCTTATGCGGTTGAGCCATGGCCTGCTGCCTGCTGGGTGATACATTAGAGAGCAGAGCTGGGGCTCAAACTCAGGCACTTCAGTATGAGTTGCAGTCATCCCTACCAGTGTGTTGCCTCTAGGCGAAATGCATGCCTCTCCAAGAACTTTCTGAAGTACTTTATTAAGGTACTTCTACTATTAGTAGATAATCAGAACAGTATTGAATTAATAATGAATACTCAATAAGTCTCCACTATTATAATTATACAAAGCCATTTTAAAAAATGTAAAGCAATGTATTAGGTATTTGTTTTATTTTTCAAAATTTCTGGAGATGGTGCTATGGTATAGTGGGAAAGGCTATTGCCTGTGGTGCCAGCATCCCATATAGGTGCTAGTTTGAGTGCTGGCTGCTCTACTTCCAGTCCAGCTCCCTGATAATGACCTGGGAAAACAATGGAAAATGACCCACTTGTTTGGGTTCCTGCACCCATGTTGGAGACCAGGCAGAGGCTCTGGTCTTCTGGCATCTGACCAGGATAGTTCTGGCCTTTGCAGCCATTTGGGGAGTGAACCAGCACTGACTCTCCCTCTTTCTCTCTGACTCTCCCTCTTTCTCACTATAACTCTGCCTTTCAAATATATACATATAAGATTTTGTGGACTTTTTTTTCTGTAAGTCTGTAAATTGACTAGGATTATTAAAATGAAGTAGTTATTCCACAATAGGGCTGGGAGAATTAAAATATATATAACATGAAATGGTGTGCCTTAAAAGTTTATTGGTTCCAAAATGGGTTTTAGGTTTTTGCTACAATCAGATGTTACATGCAGACATGAATGTTATGTTACTAGGTTATCATGCCTGTATACCTGGTGACTAAATCTCATATACCAGGTGAGGTACTGCAAAAAGTGCCTTCAGTTTTACTCAAGAAATTTGCTCTCCCAGCCCATTATGTTATTCGGGTCACTCTTTGGTTCTATTTCAGGATTACTGAGCATCCATGTAACATTCTGTTGCATTCACAGACTACAGGACTGTCAGCCAAAGGACTAGACAGATGATTTCCAAGTTTAGCCTTAGATTTGCGAATTAAGGGTTTGTGACCATTTGTCATTCTGTTCTCTTACCCGTCTTTGGTAATTCGCATACTTTTATTCAGACTTTTTAAACTGTTCTATGTACTGCCTGTGCTGAGTTTTCCAGCATGTTTTAAAATTGTCTCAGTCACAAGGAGCTATTAAGTGGGTACCTTTGCTATGCATATCTGTAAGTACCTCGTTACTTTAAAGGCACATAGTTTTAAATTGAGGAAGTAAAAAATGTTTGTTTTATTTTTTTTACTTGTTTGAAGAAGTTGTAGTCATAACGTGATTTATGAGACTTCCCTCTGTGTTTACTTTGCCAGCTGATGACCCTAATTTCATAAGCTGCAATTAGGGGAATTGTCATTTTATTCCTTCCATTCCATGATTTCCCATGAGACCCTGAGAACCCATCATATCCGTAGGGTCACTGAGTGCTGCTGGCTGGTGCTGACCCCTCACTGCTCCTCCAGGTCACCAGCCACATCTTTCACTGTTGAGGGCCGGGTGCTGCCTCTGATCTTCACAGCTGATTGTTTATCCCCAATGGAATCTGACCTTGTAAACAAACACCTGTCAGGTTCAAGTCCAAGGTTCTTCATGTGACAATTATAACCAACTTTTACTCCTCCTTTAAGACAGAAGGAGTATCTCCTTTGGAGTTCCTGAGTACCCCGTGACAGTTGTGGCATTATTTTTCTGTATAGTAAATAATACCTGGAGTTTGCCTTTTGAGAAAGAATGGTAAAACCAACTAGTATATGTATGAAGTTTCCTCCTACCCTGGGAGAATATAGTGACAAGTGAAGTCTCAAGTGTAGTAACAGATTTAAAACTCCATTGCAGTGAAACTTGTGAAATCAAATGAAAGAACATACCCTTTGGAGGATAGTTAAGTAGTAGTAACACATGGAAAAGCCCTTTTTGGAAATGTTAGTGAAAATTTAGCTAACCCTAATGCCCAATCCTGGCTTATCCTTGTGGTTAGATGGGTGTGTCCGGTTGTTGATACTGATTCCAGTCTAGAGCCAGATCACTGTCTCTGCTTACCACACAATGCGCTGGTCAAAATTTAGTAGGTGGGATAGTTGCTATGTGAGGAAGTGAGTTGGGTTCACATACCAGTTTCTTTGGTTGGTGTGGGTCCCTTCTGCTGGCCACGCTGAAGCAGTCATGTTTCTAGGTCATTGGAACAGACTAGCTCCCCAAGCACCTGAGTGCACACGATAACGTGCATTGTGACACTTCTTGGCAGCTAGTCATCCCGCTTCTCTGGTGACACCAACTGTGATGTGTAACTTAATGCCTTCTTTGCTTAAAATTAGCTATGCAAATGTATTCTTTAAGCTTCTAAGAATATTAATATTTCAATGATTCAGGTAAATTGATACACTGAATTGTCTTTTACTACAGTGGTGTTTTCTTGCACTATTAGACTCTCTGGTCTTAGGTACTAAGTATATTGCTATATTCCATGCCTTTTGTCTCCCTAACCAGTCTTAACTCTCACAACTCATGAAATATGCTTTAAAATTTGAGTTGAAAAAATTAAAACATTTTTTTAGTTAAAAAAATTTTATATTTGAGTTGATTTACAGTTCAATAATGAATTCAAGATTCAGAATGATATTGTACTCTTTCTTCCTGGATATTTTTATGAGGGAGCCATTTATTGAATATCTTGTATGTGGCAAGATGGCAAGCAGTGTAGTGGATTACTTTTAATACTTTAAAAATTACTCCTTTGGAGTATTTTTGATTTGTATATTTAAGAGAGAGAGTGAGCTATTGCTGCCATCCGTTGGTTCAGTTGCTGAATACAATGGCTAAGGGGTAGGACTGGGCGTGGGTGAAGCTGGGAGCTGGGTACGCTATCCAGACTCCCACATCAGTGGCAGCAACCCAGGTGCTTCACCTGTTACTGCTGCTTCTCAGAGGTCCGGAGCAGGGAGCAGGCGCTGGGGTGGAACCCCATCAAAGCGAGGTGGATGTGCCTGTCCTCAACACTAAGCTGACACCTGCTCCTGGGAGTAGCCTGAGTCTCAGAGCAGACCTCCCTAGTCTGCTAGGAAAGTAGCAGGCTGGACTTGGACCCGGAGCCCCATTCGTTCATTAGTGTGCAGTGCCTGACTAGCACATTTAGTCATATTTAAATAAATATGTACATTTTGGTATCTGTTTTTAATAATTGCTTTTAGACTTTTGTAAACCTATAGAACATAATTAAATAGCAGTTCCTCATTTATTTTGGGTATTTTTCTTATTTTCAGATTTTTAAAAATAAGTATTGTGGATTTCTATATTATCCTTATATGCATAGTTTATGCATTAAATTTCTCTGAGATACATTCTTGCCTGACTTTAATAGCCCCTCTTCTGTTCTAGATTAATGTCCACCAGAATGTTGATTCATGGCAATGGTTTCTTTTTCTTTCCTTTTTTTTTTTCAGACTTATTTATTTTATATTGGAAAGTCTTGATTTACAAAGAGGAGAGACAGAGAGAAAGATCTTTCATCTGTTGATTCACTTCCCAAGTGACTGCAGTGGCTGGCACTGAGCCAATCTGAAGCCAGGAGCTAGGAGCTTCTTTTGAGTCTCTCAAATGGGTGCAGGATCTTAAGGCTTTGGGTCCCAGGCTTTCCCATGCCATACGCAGGGAGTGGAAAGGAAGTGGAACAGCAGGATATGAACCAGTGCCCACATGGGTTCCTGGTACATTCAGGGCAAGGACGTTAGCCATAGGCTATTGCACCAGGCCCAGCAAAGGTTCCTTTATTCGTTATTGGCTATGAGCTGTACGAATCTGCCCCTTACATGGCTTTATTTGTAAGGCAGCATCATTTCCCCACCACATCTCTCATCCATCTGCTCAAGTACGTTGTACCTGTTGGGCAGCGCAGAGGCTCTGGGTTGTTTGCTGTTGGAAGTGTGAGCTGAGGGGACAGGCTTTCCTCTTGCTTAGTGGGCACACTGAACTCTGCCCTGCATATACTGGATTATTAATGGCACCATGCTTTTATGTTGCAGATGGCTGAGAGCTAGCGAGGAGAATCCGGGACCATGATGGCTCAGTTTCCTGCAGCCTTGAATGGTAAGCAGCTTTGTACTTGTGATAAGGTCATTAAGGACTTTTTTGCCCTTGTAGGGAGGGTAGCGAGGGGTCGGGAGTGGCTGGAGAGGTTAAAGAGGTCAGGGGGATGGATGAGGAGGAGGTTTAAAATAAAGTCCTCTTATTGAGAATATTGATAGTGTATTTCAAAGCATTGCATGTGTTGTCTGTACAATATTATGTAGTAAATTATATGGAATGTGTGCTTGCCATTGAGTAGTTAAGAATAGCTTTAAGTATATTGCATTTGACACATAGAACTGGAGGAGTAAAAAGTAGGGTGCTTTGAGGTGAATGCTGAGGTGTGTTTGGTAGCATAGCGTGATTGCAGACTGACACAGCCAGTAAAGCTGTGTTATACATATGTAAGATTGCTTTCCCTTTTCATGAGTGCTACTGTTTATGTAATACATGTCTAATATAAGGTATTTTCTCAAAAGTTATTTGTGAGGCAGATAGAGGGAGTTTCTGTCCGTTAGTTTATTCCCTTGTTGCCTCCACGCCTGGTAGCCCCTGAGGTGTGGATCCAGGAGTTTCTTCTCCGAGTCTCCCACGTGGGTGACAGGAGCCCACCTTGAGCCCGCACTGCTGCCGCCTCCATCTCCACTGCATTTCCAGGGAGCTGCAGTCGAAAACCAGAGCCAGTGTTGAACCAGGCACTGTGATGTGGCTAGCAGACATCCTAACCAGATTTTTAACTGCTCGTCCAGGTGCTGGCACCTAAGATAAAACCTTTTTTAAAGAAAATGTTTAGATGTTGTCAATAATGATAAGTATAGAAAGCTTTTGTTCTGAATTTAGTTTTAATTTTAATTCCTTTTTCACATACTATTTAGCTACCTTTAAAGATATTGTTACTATGTAAGTAATTTAGAATGAATTGAGAAAATTAATTGTATTTTTAAAGCACTAAAGAAACTGAGGGGCCAGCACTGTGGTGTAGCAAGCTAATCCTCCACGCTGTGGTACTGGTATCCCATCTAGGTGCTGGTTTGTGACCCCACTGCTCCCATCCTCCTCTGCTTATGGCCTGCAAAGGGCAGAGAGGATGGCTTGTGTCCTTGGCCTGTGCCCATGTGGGAGGCATGGCAGAAGCTCCTGAATCTCAGCTTCAGATCAGCTCAGTGCCAGCTGTTGCACCTATTTGGAGTAATCAGTGAGTGAATGGAAGACCCTCTCTCTCTCCTTCTTTTTCTGTAAAAGCTGCCTTTCAAATTAAAGAAAAAAAAAAAAGACAGGAAAGAAAGAAATTGAGTCACTGAGGGGTTTTGAGTCATAGTTATCATGCATGTGATCTATGGCTGGGAACAGGCCCGGTTGGGGAGCTAAGGGGACAACCCTAGCTGGGTTGAGGTTCCCACCAAGGAGCGTGTGGGCTGGAATGGGGGCTGCGTTCTGAGCAGGAAACGGTTGTAGTCTCCATTGGCACAAATGTGGACTGGGATTGGGTGCACTGAGCTGGGCCAGACTCCAGCACCCTCTGATGTCCTGGAGGACCAGGGTAGATGTGGGATGGACTAGGCAAGGTCTTAACCCCCACTGAGCCACGTGTGAGCCATATGTGGGTATGGACTAGTCATGGCTGGGCTGAAACATCCAACAGCAAGAACCAGATTGGGTTGAAGGCCAGTCAGGAAAAGCCACTGTTCCTGCTAGGACAGGAGGTGAACTGAGTAGGGCTGGCTCTTGGACCCCCTGGTATGTGCAAAATCTGGCATGGGGAGAGGTTCTGATGAAGGAGCCTGGGCAACTTCTCTAGCAGGATACAGACCCAGCAGGTAAGCGCAAAAAACAAGTTAGGAAACAGCCCAGAACAGGCCATGGAAAGTTACCCACTGGCATATATCTGGCATGGATTAGGAGAGGACCAGGCTGAATCGGTTCATATCATCCACTGGCAAATCCAGGCACCAGAACAGTGTGGGTCAAGCCGGGTTTGGTCAGCCAAAACTAGTGCACAATACAGAATGCCAAGGTGAGGTTGTCTGTGCCGGAAGTGACCGCAGCACCCAACCAGCATGCGTGAGAACCAGGAAGGGAGGGGGCAGAGCCGGCAGGGGAATAAGGGGTGGTTCCTTTGCTGGACAGCTACTCCCACTGGAGAGCATGAGCTGGGATGGAGGCAGACCAGACTAGGCAGGGCTACAACACCTGTACGCCTCATGTGGACTAGATCAGGGAAAAGTCAGGCTAGGCTGATTATTCCTACTGGTGCAAACAAAATTAGAGTGGGTGAGGGTTGTTTGGGCTTAGCCACAGCATCAGCTGGCAGAAGCTGGCACTGGGGGCTAGTTCTGGCAAGTCAAACCCAAACCACAGAACTACCTGGAGAGTGCATAATCCGGGAGTGGGAGAGGCCTGGGAGGGAAATAGAGGGCTCCTCCCTCTTGGGTTACCACTTCTACAGGAGGACACGAAAACCAGGACAGGGGCGGGGGTGGAATGGAGTGTGGGACAGACTGAACTACTGCTACACATACTGGCAAACCAGGGTAGTGGGAGGGCCTGATGGGGGTTATTGTGGGTCGCTTTGACTAGGCTGCAGCTCCCACTGGTTTATGCGAGGGCTGAGAATGTGTTGGGCAGCACCAGGCTGGTCTGCAGCACCCATTGGTTTCAGTGGGAGTCGGGGCTGAAAACAGAATCAACCCAGCGATTGCAACCACCAGCTGATCGGGGCAATGGACTGAGCCGGGCCCTGTACCTGCTAGTACATACAAGAATCTGGTCCAAGAACAGCTCAGACAAAGTTTCTTTGGTGATTTCCCCAATTGAAATGCTGGACTCAGAACCCTAACCAGAAAAGAGAGAAGATCGAACAGGTCAATCAACCATCTTAGCTATATGTTGGCAGCAAAATACAGGGCAAATGGAGACTCTATGATGCACTATGTCAATCAGTGGATTCTTCAAAGACCTCATCATGCTTGGAGTGGCAAGATTGGCAGTGATTTATAACTGGTGAACTATCAAACCACTTGAGCAAGAACCTCAGAGAATGCCCTACATGCGGGACCTGGGGAGAGTGGGAAATTGGGTGGGACTTCTCCCTTAATACCCCCCTTTAAACATGAAGGAAACAATATGGAAATAATAGTCTTACCCACTTTCCTATAGCCCTTGAACCTTTTTACCCTAATTAACTATGTAAAGATTGTCAAAAATATAATAATAATAATAATAAAAAAAGAAAGTCATAGTTATACAGAGGGAGCCCCTCACCCAGTGGTTCACTCCCCAGATACTCCCAACTTCCGGGGCTGGGCCAGGCCAAGGCCAGGAGCGAGGAGCTTCTTCTAGAGCTCCCATGTGGGTGGTGGTGGCCTAACACTTGGACCATCTTCTGCTACCTTTTCCCTGCCCATAGCAAGAAGCTAGATTGGACCTGGAGCTGCTGGGACTAGAACTGGTGCCCATCTCTGAGGCCAGTGCCAGCTTTACCTACTACACCGCAGCATTGGCCCTGAGTTCTTAATTTTATATTAAATTTCATTAGCTTTCTGTAGAAAATATAAGGAAATAAAGTCAATAATTGTTTAGCATGTAAATTGGAAGCAGTAATAAAAGAACTCTAAACCATAAAGAGAGATCACTGTACCACTACATTGATGAAACTGCTGTTTTTAGATTCCCATCTAGTATTTCATCAGTCGCATCTTTTACTTTCAACTTATTTTTGTCATAGGTCTCACCAGTAAATTGATATTAAATGCATATTGTCTATTTCAAGATTTAGGAAAGTTTTAGAGAAATTAATTATCTGTATAAAAAGTGGAATCAAATTGTAGTGTGTGGAAGCCTGACGCTGTGGCTCAGCTGGTTAAGTTGCTGCCTGGGATGCTGGCATCTCATATGAGCGCTGGTTTGAAACCTATTGTTCCACCTTGGATCAAACCCCCAATGCAGCTCCCTGCTAATACTCCTTGGAGTCAGTGGAAGATGGTCCATGTGCTTGGATCCCCACCACCCACATACATGGAGTTTTTGGATTTTGACTTTGACCCAGACAAATCTCAGCCATGTGACCATTTCGGGAGTGAATCAACAAATGAAACATTTCTGTCTCTGCTTCTCTTACCGTAACTCTGCCTTTTGAAAGCATGGGATCCTAGTGGCTAAAAGTCCTCACCTTCAACACCAGGATCCCATGTGGGCACCAGTTCATGTCCCAGCTGCTCCATTTCCCATCCAGCTCCCTGCTTGTGGCCTGGGGAAGCAATAGAGGACAGCCCAAAGCTTTGGGACCCTGTAGCTATATAGGAGACCAAGAAGCTCCTAGCTCCTGAGTTCAGATTGACTCAGCTCCAGCCAGCAACCACTTGGGGAGTAACCCAATGGATGGAAGATCTTTCTGTTTCTCCTCTCTGTATATCTACCTTTACATCTTCATTTAACATTTATTTATTTACTTTTGTTTGAAAGAGTTACAAAGTGAAGGAAGGAGAGAGATATCTTCCACCCACCGGTTCACTCCCCAAATGGCTGCAATGGCCAGAGCTGAGCTGATCTGAAGCCAGGAGCCAGGAGCTAGGAGCTTCTTCCAGGGATGCAGAGTTCCAAGGCTTTAGGCCATCCTCGACTGCTTTCCCACCATAGGCAGGGAGCTGGATGGGAAGTAGAGCAATTGAGACATGAACCAGTGCCTGTATGGGACACTGGCACCACTGTGGAAGATTAATTTGCTACACTGGTGTGCCACTTCCCTTCCTCCCATCCCCTGATTCTAAATGTGTGGAAAGGTTTGTGTCATTTAATTAAGCATGAGCTTGAGATAAGACTTTTTGTTATTTAAATTTTTTTCTGAACTCTTAATGATGCATATCAGCATTACTCTTATTTTGAAAGTGGGCCACAGCTATGTATGATTTTAATTTAAATTAATAAAAATAATGTTCAAATTCCATGCCTCAACCACTCATCTACATTTCAAGTGCTCAAAGCACACTTGGCTAATGACCAGCACATTGAACAATGTGGTTGTA